TCACTCAAGTGTTGAAGCTAAGTATAGAGTACTTGCCTCCAGTGCCTCAGAGATGACATGGATCATGTATCTACTTCATGACCGTAGGGTTTTTCTTCGATCTGTACCTACATCGTATTGTGACAACATGAGTGCTTTGTACATGACAGTCAATCCAGTTATGCATGCTAGAACTAAACATGTTGAAATTGACTATCATTTTATTCGTGAGTAGGTGTCCAGAGGACAACTTGTCACTCAGTTTGTGAGGTCTAATGATCAACTAACAGATATTAATTCAAAAGCATTAACCAAACAGATTTTTGCTGAGTTTCGTCGCAAGGTAGGAGTTACATTCCCTCCACTCACTAGCTTGAGGGGAAGTGTTGAAGGAAGTTGGTGGAACATGTCAAAGGAACAACTTCGGTGAAGCTGCCTGACGAGTATGTAACTCAATCATTCAATCATCAATACAATCCTTGATTTCTCCATTTATACGTGAGATTTCTAAAAATAGGACTCCAGTCACCTCATCTAGTACAGTTGGCAATAGAGATAATAATCATCAAATCTGGATTGTACCTGAAGAGGATGGGTAATAAGACTAACTTTTAAATATACATTTGATTAGCTGAATTGTTTATTTGTTTATATTTTCAATAACTACTATGTTTTATATAGGTTTGATACTCACAAGATAGTAATTTAAGGCATTTCTAGTTGTATTCGTAGTAAATTTGAATTGACTAGACCCTCATGGAAGAAGTTTCCACAATCTGCCTCATGATATGTGGGTTGAGGAATTCAAGGTAAGGACATTATACACATGTAATTACATCAAGTTATATGATTTTGATATTAACCTGAGTTACTTCTTATTGCCTTCACTGATACTCTGTCAATCTCGTTATGATATTTTGTTTGGGTCATTTTAGCTCTTGCTTCTTTTATATAATTCTTCATCTTGCTCATTGGGTCGTTAAGTTTCCCTTTCATGGTCATTAAAATTTTAACTTCTCGACATGTCCAGGTAGGTTCAGTTTTGTAATGGTTTGTGTAATCATATAAGTATGATGGTACATGGTAGTCTATATTGCATTAGATTTATGTAAAACATGTTTCAATCAATCTACTTGGGCGCATACACGTCTGTTTTTGTTTTTTCTTAACTGTCTTCTTCGCATTTATCTTTAAGAAGTGACCTTTGAATGTGGTTTGTTTGTTCTCTATTCATGTTAATAGTTAATTGCTGAAGGGTCTGAACAAAAGTAAATGCAAATATATTCTTCGATTCTTATCTTAATTTTATCTGAGTAGTGTTGTTTTCTAGAAATGCTAACTTAACTTTACATTATTTTTAATATTGATGTGGTTCTGAGTAGTGTATATCAGAGTGACATAGCAACACTTTCTAGAAAAAAATTAATATGGTTGGTTAGGCTTGGTTTCAACCATCTGGGATATAATGTCTTCTTTACCTGAAACCAGTTCTATTGCTCTCTTCCTTTCTGGAACTGTGAAGTGATATGTATCGAACTACTCGATTTGACTCAACTGTACTAGATGAGGTGCATTCACGACAGTGAGAGATCATATATACTATTCTAAAATCAAATGAGAAAGCTAAAAGTACTGCATATGTAAGTACTCATTCGCTCTATTCTTTTGTAGATTAAATAATTTATTCCTGATTTTTCTATCTTATTTGTTGGAGCTCATCTTTTATGGTACTGAAAATTCAAGTTGGTGTTGTACAATTATAGCAATATGCATAAATCTACAGAACCTTGTAATGACTATGAATTGTGAAATGAAATTGTTTTTTTCCCTTGACAACTTGAATAATTAAGTTCTCGAATGTTTTTTATCTACTTTTTAAGAAAGTATAATATATCACTGGCCATAAAGACAGAGTTGCTTTTAGGGTAATTTTGTAAGGTTATTGTAAAGTGAATTTACATACTATAATTGGTCAACTCCAACTGTTAGGCATCAAGGCTAACTATTTATGGTATTTGGTCAATTTTTCATTAAATTTTTAATTTTGAGTGATTTTCTTGAATTTGTTTACTTAAGTTTCAAAATGATTCTGTTAGCTGCAATACATGAGATTTAGCCTAGGACTAGGAAACTTACAGAATCCAAAGATAGGTTATGCTATTTAAAGAAGAGAATATACACCACCAAGATAGATTCTTAAGACATATAGCCCTTGAGGAATGATTAGGTGTAAGATATCATCAAAACATCTATGATTCTTTTTATCCAAATACACCATAAAATACTAGCAAACACCATTCTCCAGACATTTTTGATAGTGAACTGAATTACGAAACAATAAAGCGATAATATCGTTATAAGTTTCTGGACTGCAAATTAATTGACAAACCCCAATAATAGATGTCACTTCTAGTTGCTTCATAGTTTGGTGCTATTTTTTTGACAGGTACTAAATTATTTTTTGAATTTTTAATATACATATCCATGTAAAGCCATAGTAACTCATTCTGAATAGACTGTAAAGAATATGATAGTTAAATTTGAATGTTCCATTCTACCTTCTCATTTTGCTAGACAATATTAAATGATATTGGAACAATGATACTAGTTACACTGTCACAGTGGAGCCAACTACCCAACCCAACTATGCTCCCAAAATTACTAATATATGATAGTTGGATTACAGTCTACATACATGAGTTATCATCATATTACTTTTATCTTTAAGCTCCACATAATATTTGCCTTTAAGCATTGTCTCAAATAATTTGTTTTGATGCAGAATAATTTTGAAAGAAAGAAACAAGAACTATTAGTTTCTCAAAGTGCATCAACTTCGGAAGGAGAAACTAATGCAACATCTGGTCGACCTTCTCAATTGACAAAAATGGATATTTGGGTGCAATCTTTTGGTGGAAAGAAAAAGGAAGAGTGAAAGGTCTTGGCTCCTAGGTCGATCTGTAAAGACATCATCTAAACAATCAACATCAACTTTATGGAGAGAAATTGATGAGATGATGAAAGCTCGGGTAAATGCTTCCAATATTGACTTATATGCTCAATTGCAGAAAGAGAGCCATAAAAATAAGAGGAAGAGGAAGGAATTAGACTTATTGAAGAAGCATGTATACAACGTATCCTCTTCAAATGGACAATCATCTTAAGAAGACAATCAAGCTTATGAGGATGAAAGCGGAGATGACTCTGATAGTGTGAGTGATAGTGGTTCTGTCCATGACTCAGATAGCGTGAAAGAAAGTGACTATAATAAGGATTGAGATAGTTGACAGTACTATGTAGGATTCAAAATTAAATTGTATTTTGTTTTTGTCCATGTAAGAATCATAAACTATTGATCTTGCGGGTTTCTTTTCATTGGAATCATGAATTATGTATTTTTGTTGAATGGAAGTGATATAACGTGAATTGTATTTTTTTTGGTTAATTTTTGCAAGTTTCTTTTCATAGGCAATATTTTCATATATATATCCCCAAGAAATTTCCTTTTGTTTAACAAAATTTTATGTCCAAAGTCCAACAAATTTAGTTGGGGATCTTCATAGGAAATTGCTTGCGAACAATTTCTACAAAAATTCACAAGAAATTTCGTTTTTATAAGAAAGTTAATACATGCGAATTTAAATCCCCAGGTAAATTACCTAGGGCTTGTTTAAATCCGCAGGTAAGAGTTACCTACAAAGGTTCTAGCATCAGATTTCATTTTGCTAAAAAATTCGCAGATAATCAAATTACATGCGGATTTTACTATATTATCCCTAGAAAAATCTCCAGATAATCAGTACATTACTTTTAGTGTTATTACTAGTACATCTTCTCTAATACTCGATACATTTAATACTCAGTACATATTACGTACTAACACATAAATTCTCTTGTGCCTATATTATTTTTGTAATATAAATTATGACGTTCCTCTGGTCATTGGTGACTTGTTGGACTGGGTATTCAAATTTTTTGTGAGTCCTCATATTTGGGGAACCATACTACTATATGTCTTTATTGCTTTATGTCATTTCAATTTTCAATTTTTTTCGTGATCTAGGGCCTGTCCTGACCATATCTATTAGTAGAGACTTATTTTAGACATAATATTGTTTCGTGATCTAGGGCCTGTACTCTAATTTGGTATCATTCAAGATTGTTGATTGATATTTATATTCTGCTTCATGCTTTATTTCCGTTTGGTTGTTATAATAATGTTATTCTCATGTCAAGTGAATTGTTTTGGATCTCTTGAGACTATTTGTCTTATCATGTCTAGGGGTAGATTTAATAAAAATAAAGCAAAGTAAATTATGATTTACATTTTAGACCATTTTAACAGGATTTTTTTTCAAGGTGGTCAATATTGCATACCATGAGATCAATGGTTGCAACTTGTAAAACCATTTGATTATGCTAGGAGTCGTTTAGTAAAATGTGTAAAAATAATTTAAAGTAGAGTGTACTAGTAATTCTTATATTAGTAATGTTTGTATTGATTAGATTTTATATATATATATATATATATATTATTTGTCTAGGTGTATTAAAAATAACATGCATTTCATAAAAAAATTTATTTATAAAAATATTCTTCACAATTATGATGGAAAATATATAATGATGTAAAAAGAGTTCTGAAGAATAATCGAGACATTAACTATGCTAATGCATGCATTAAATCTTCTTATATTACTAATATCTAGAAATTCATGGTATTAATATATACGCCTTAGTACACAACAAAAATATATAACTAATATTAATTATATACAACATAAAAAAGTGTATGAAATAAGGTATTACTAATACATATAATTAATATATGCATTAATTTTAATAGTACACTCATAATAACAACAATATACCCGATAAACTTTCCTAAATGAAATTTGAAAAGAATAAAGTGTGTGTAGACCTTGGGTGGCCATGTTTCCTCCCAATCACACACTATGTCTTGATATTCTTGAATGTTCCAATATCAGCCACTATTGTATCCCCACGTGGACACTTGACAGTCATCAACTTGAGGGAGGAACCTTTTGCAAATATCACCACAGCATTGACTCAGTCTCAAAACTTCATTTCTCAACTCTTGAGTCTTGAGCTTCAATTTGTAGTGCAAAAAAAAAATGTCTTTAGCTATTCTACAGCAAAGTTTCTTGATTAGTCCTCTTTCTTCAACATACAAACCAAGAAAATACAGCACATTCTTCCCTGTACATAGCACTAAAATCTTGTGCAAACACAACCCAGATGACCCACAAGACTCGTTGAGGTAAAAATCGAATATAATGGGGAAAAAGTTTCATTCTTTTCTCTTTCATTTTCTGGGTTCTTGATGGAGTTATTGTTTTTTTTCAGGAAAAGTGAAAATAAATTTGAAAAGTTGGCTTTAGCTGCAGTGGCAGTTGGGGTTTTGACACTGGGCTCAGTGGATCCAGCATCAGCTGCTAAGACTGGTGGCAGAATTGGTGGTCAGGCTTTTCGACCATCATCTCCTCCTCGCTCTTCCTCACCAAGGATCAATAATTCAAGGTTAATTTCACTCTTTTTTGGAGCAAAAGATGTATTTGTTACTGTTAAAGATATGATTAAGTAAATAAAAGTGTATCCTGACCAACAATTTACCAGGCCGTTAGATAAGATGGTCACACAATTAAAGGCATAATACATAAATATGCCTTTTAAATTGGTTTCGAATTTCATTTATTCCCTTCAACTTTATGTGTGCATAAGTAGACACTTAAACTTGTATAAAGTTGAACAAACAGACACACATGTCTTACATGTCATCCTACTTGTCATCTTTTGTCCTACGTGGTGTCCTACGTGTACTGTGACTTGTTGGACTCATGTGTTTATTTATTTAAAAGTTGGATAGTTAAAGTTTCTGTTTATGCATTATAAAAGTTAGAGGTCAAAGTTAAAATTTGAAGTCAAGTTAGGGTTTAATATATATGTATTATGCCCACAATTAAATATGGTCCTTGACCTAGGTTCAAGTCTCACCTCCATGTAGAGGCGGAGCCAGTAGGGCTCAAGGGGTTCATCCTAGCCTCCTTCGGTGAATAATTATACTATTTATACATGTTTTACATAGTAGATGTTTACTCCTTTTGTTTTTTTTCGTGTGTTTGGTCCCTTGCCTCCACCAATTACCAAATAAAAATCCACGTCTTGTCCTTTGAAAGATGATCATGGCTAACACCTGATGGAACTTTGTTGAAAACATACTTAAGTAAATAAAAGATATTTACTATACAAGATGATGCTTGTAAATGATATGGTCAGACAATTTAGTAACTAACAGCCTTGAAACATGTAAATTTACTGTTTATGTAGAAATAACTTAGAGTATTTAATGCTTCACTTCGTTTCATATGGAGGTCCAACTTTGTTCATCAAGGATTGATTTGACTGATTGTTGAAGATTAATCAAAGTTGTATTGGTTATAAAAGTTTATAAAACTGTTTAAAAGCTGCAAATATGTTAGCCCATTTGAAAATGATGAATAGTTTATTATTAAATCTTATTATTGCAATGGAGAGTAATTTGATTGTCTCAAACATACAATATGTGATCAAAATTTTGAACTTGGTAGTAAGGGAACATGTTAATTTAGTAATGGTAGTAGTTTCAAGTATAGTACTTTCGATGCCAAAAGGTACAACACCAATAGTTGTATATGCCTTGGCTTTCTGTTGAATTATTGTATCTAGATATGGTGCATGCTTCTAGTTTTGCTGAAATTTAGACGTCGAAAGAAGGTTTCAATGTGTCGACATTTGTATAGTTTGGATAGAAACGATAACTTGCCAGGGTAAAAGAAAACGGTAGTGTAAATCTGTTACAACTAGAATGTTTCCCATATAGCAAGGACAGACAGTGACCAGAAAATGATGCTAGAGATTTCAGTCACTGGGCACAAGACAATTTTAAGGCAACAAATTTTTCTTTTGAGCCACTGGAAGGAATATAGGTATTGCAAAAGTATGTTTTGAGCTGAATTTCTAACTTGCTAATGCAATTATTTGAGACCTTAGCAATTACCCTTATGTTAGTGGTGACTTTCATCTGATTCTACATGCCCTCTTTCAATTCATCAACTACTCAAGTAGTACAAGTTAAATTTTTTCTTAGTTTACCCCATAGTATCCTGCATTACTGTCCTGACCTTCAAATGAAGTAAGCACCCTGAGACTTTCTTTCTACAGCCGTTAAACTGTTTCATCTGAAAAGATATTTTCGTATTATGTGTAGCTTTAAAATTAACTGGAGTTCGCCGTATTAGAAGTCACCTTGGATGGATAATGAAAGCACTATAATCTTTCTCTTCTTTATGCTTGTTCTAAATTAGCTAATCTCATATTTATGTCTTCATTTTAGTGTTCAGATTCTTGTCTTATAGCATATTTATTTACTCACTATACCTTTTAGTACTTTACCTCCTGTTATTTTGAGAGTACCTAATTAGACTAGGAGGAGCGGAATAAGGTATTTCTTATATTCCTATAACAAAATCTCTAGATAGAGCCTATATTATTTGAATTCATAGCCATAAGGAGAACTATGTGTTTTATATTACTATGGAACAATCAGGTTCTAGTTGAAACAATTCCATCATCTTAAGGTTATGATTTCCTCTCAGGCATTTCAAGTTCCTTGCCTCCGATAGATTATTAATTTATAAAATGCAGTAAGCTCTCATGTATGTGGCATGGCTGGGGAAGTAATTGAAAAAGGAACTGTTAGTAATTGGTGGCACATACATTTATCATTACTCCAGTATATAGTGCAAGCAAGACTAAAACAAATATTCATGTTGAACCAAAAACCTTCGTTCTACACGACAAGACATGGTTAAATTTCCTATTGAATGTGATTCCTAAGTTCTTTTTATTGGCTAGGAAGCTACTTTGCAAGAATCTTTATGGCCATAATTTTGTTCTTATTATCTAAATAGGACAAACAACATCAACATTCTAGACAGGTCAAAAAGTTAATATATTAATGGAATATAGTCAAACATGGAGACACCAGTATTATATATGATTCACGACTCACGTTCATGTAGAGGCAGATCTAAGATTTGAAAGTGGCGGGGACACCATTATCTTTAACTTTGATGTGGCAATTACTAGAAGGATCAGTGCTTCGCCACCAACAAAGAAAACCACCCAATTTTCAACAAATGTTAGATACCATATTTTTGTTTTAAGAAAACAATGAGTTAAACGCTAAGAACTTAAAAGATCGAACTTATCTAGTTAAATTTCTGAACCCACCAAAATACAGTTAGTGGAAACAGTTGTTATTGAGCTTAATTAAATATTAACTCTAGTTCCTTCTAATTGGTGAAAAACAGAAATCATGAAAGAATCAAACTCAAATGTGTTTGAATTAGTAGAATCTACTTAATCTTTAGAAAGAGGTAAAGGAGGCCCTTTACAGTTAACAGAGTTAGACAGGGAGGTTGAGTCTCACCGGACACCGACTGCTTTCCATAGTTACTTGATTAGAAAATAAGGGGGGGGGGGGTTGTTGACTGCAAAAAAGATAAAATTAAAAAACAATAGCTACTGAAGAGCAAGCACCTCTACCAGGTCGAAGCTTTGGGTGCCAGTGACTCCTATGTCCCTAACGTAGGTCTGCCTCTTTGTGCATGACCAGTTCAAGATCTCATGGTAAATGAATTAGACATGGATATTTTTTGAGAAAGAATTGATGGATAAGAACTAAACATGGTTATTGTTATGTACTTTGATTGAATAAGTATTATTCTCTCTATCTGTTGAATAAAAGAAAAAGTTTTAGCTCCGTTTTGCTAAGAGTAATTGTTACTATTTAACATCACGATTCATGAAGTGTGAACTTATTTCAAATCATACTTAAATATGTCCCTTTTTTGCATGCAACCGTGCATGTTGACGGTCGTCGTTTGCATCTGGATCCATGGTTATTAGCTATAGAAGACAGTTGATAGTATTGTTTCCACTATAGATTTTACTCTTTAGTCATCCCTTTCTTTTCGTTGATATGACTTTTTAAGGCTTTTTAAGTAGTTTAGTCCAGAATAAAATCACTGCTTCTGAATTATGTCAGCATAGCAAACTCTTTTTCTTACTCTAAGTTGCTTGGTTGGGAACTACTTATCCCAGGATTAATTATCCTGGGGTTAGTTATCCCACCATGTATATGGGATAACTTATCCCATCACTATGCTATAATTGATGGGATAAGTTATCCCAAACATGTCAACCAGACAAGACATCTAAATTATATCCTAGGACTATCTTTTTATCCCATGACTAGTTATGCTTATCCCTCACACCAAACAACCAAGTGTACTGATTATTAGTGTTTCTTAATGGAATAAGTGTACGTCATGAACTCTTGGCTAACTTTTTTGAAAGAACAGTTTCACTCCATCTAGAAAATAATTGATCACTTTTCATTTAGCCTTCAAGATCCATATAGTATCCTGTATTTATAGGTCTCATAAAGAAATACAAAGATGAGTTTGTGCTCTTGTTATTTGCGATACAAAGTACCATATAAAAGGAAGCAAATTGTTGGAATCTGATAGTCTCCATTTCCTATCTTAACAGAACTAGAAATTCGTATGTCAGATTATTCCTCAAGTTTGTTTCACCGACATTAGTCAGCTATCAAAGCCATGCTTTACAACTAGTGGTTACACCTTGTATTGTATTTACTAGGCCATTTCCTGTAGTTTTACCACCGTAGTCCGAAGAATTGCTATAGAAGGAAATTTTGGGATTATTAGTAACCCTTTCTGGATTAAGTGGACTGAAGGACAAGAACATTTAGATGATTTCCAAGCAGCTTGTTGACTAACCAAGTGAAACACCAATACTTCTAGGGGGCAATTATTATGCTAAATTTGTTTCCAAGGCCACTTAAGTGTGTTGTTCTGTGTATTATACAATAGAGTGTAACATGACTTTACTGTAAAGCTTCCATCCTTTTTTCCCTTCCAACATATATAGGATGTCCTTTTTATCTAAGCATGTATGGTTATGGTAGGCTCCTAACTGTCTAATCAAACTGCAGGTTCTTTCCAATTCTCAATCATTGCAGTTTCTTCTTAAAATTATGTGCTAGCTGTAACTTGAGTAGTAATCTGATAGAGAGACTTCCTCATTGGCAGCCAAAGTAAAAAGAATGGGAAAACTCCATTTGAGAGGTGTGTGGCCCATCCAAGAGTCATGCCAAAGCTAATCTTCCTTCCATCTCCCAGCTTGAAATATGATTTGCCTATAGTCATTCCAAAAAGTGCTGATGCTTTTCTAAATAGAGAATCCAGAGAGGAGCATGGAAACTTTATTATTTCATTAATCGTGCTTTCCATCTTTGCTTTCGATGACATTTCTCCACGATGTACCTTTTCAAATCCCTAACCCCAAGGCCTCCATATCATTCACCTTCAATACTATATCCCAATTAACAAGAATGAAAGATTTCTTGTCTCTAATTCCTTGCTATTGGAAGTGTCTTTCAATGTTGTCAATAATCTTTTAATAGAAGCAGGTAAAGGGAATAACATAGTGTTATGTTCGAGTGTAGCACGCTGTTTATGAGGACTAATATTCCACCAATAGAGAGATGTTGCCTTTTACATTTAGACAACTTGCTTTCACATTTTTCAAAAATACCATCCCATATTAGAAATTGATGTGTGTTTATGCATCAGAGTTAGTCCCAAATAAGTAGCAGACAGTGTCCCAATAGTGCACCCAAAAATACCTGCTAGCAGTTAAAGATTGTGAACTGGAAAGATCAGCTGGCTCTTGTGCATATTTATGTGGAGTCCAGTGACTGCCCCGAAAAACCACAGTATAAGTCTTAAAGATAATGCATCTGTTCTTCATCAGCTTTACTTAAAAGCAGTGAGCCTTCTGCATTAAGGATGTGAGAACTTGCAAGTTCATCTTGGCCCCTAATCCAGCTTTGTTCGATTGCACAGTGAAGCATGGTGCTTCTAGTTTCTTTTTTACTTCTTATCGAAATCATTGAGAAAGTTCCTCATGTAGTTTTTGTTATTGTTGAACAGCTTTAACTGCAAATTGCAGTAGTCGAACCATACTGTCTTAGTTGCGCCCTTCCTCATTTCTCTTAGTTCCTTCGGATGAAATTTTTTGTAGTCAATATCTTTGTATCGGTGTGTATGAAAGCAGGTAATAGATTCATGTATCTGTTCATCCTCTTGTTTCTTTCATGTATTTATTTATTTCAATTTCTTGTGTAGTTCCAAAACCGAGGGAGTTAACTAACCCCACCATACTTATGTGTTAACACATAGCCAACAAGTCTTGCTGATCTTCCATGATGAAGACATAATTTTGTTGAGTATGCTCAGAGTTGTAGTGCCATACTGAATTATGATACTTCCTCCAGTTTTAAGACCACCTGGTTCAACTTGTTTTTTCTACTTGCATGTATTTGATATCCTGTTGCATGCTTAAATAGACTAATGTAGATGATGACATTGTTTTTGCAGAACAAATATATATGTGAATCCACCAGTTGCTCCTCCTCTAGTAGGTGGATATGGATATGGCTATGGTATTCCATTCTATGGTGGATGGGGTTGGTCACCTTTTTCGTTCTTCGCACCAGGGCCTGGTGTTGCCGTTGGCATTGGAGGTGGATTTGATACACTGGTGCTCTTCTTGGTTCTTGGTGCTGTTGCTTCTTTTCTTAGAAGGGTGCTTGGGAAATCAAGGGATGAAGATGAGTACTAGCACATGTTCATCCAAATATAGTTTTGTACTAGCAGTGTCATCTAGTCATACAGTATATAATTAACCTTATGTATTGCTGAATTTTTTTCACTTCCTTTCTATGTAAATTCATCTGCAATATATTTTAGTATAGCAATCTTTTACATCACACTTGGGACTTTCGCGCTAAGATTTGAATCATTCTATATATGAAATTAGAGTTAATTTGATTCTAATAACAGATAGTATTAAATAAATAGTATTAAATAATATTAGAATTTACTGTGTACTAATCCTAGTCCTATTTGGATTAGTACTCCTTAATCCTAGTCCTATTAGGATTAGTATTCCTTCCTATATCCCCTATATATATCTTCCATGTATTCCCTTATTAGGTTAACACTTCAAAATAATCAATATTCTTTCATGGTATCAAGAGCTAGAAAACCTAGATCTTCTTTTCTCTAGTTTTTTTTTTCTCTTTTTAGGGCACCGATGGTTCCCTCTCTTCTCTTGGGCGGCGGCAGCCATGACAACCGAGGTGGATCCTCTCGATTCACTTCCTTCTGGCGTTAAACTCCTTCTCAGGCAACTTCATGCCCTGATTCCCGAAAAATTATCAGACATAAATTACCCTACATGGAAAATCACCGTTTTTACAGCTCTTGAGGCCAATTACCTTTTCAAATACGTCGATGGAAGCACAGAACCGCCGCCGGCAGTCATCACCGCCACGGACAAATCAGAAAAAACCAATCCGGCCCATGCCGCCTGGAAAGCAGTGGATGGCCAGATCCAATCATGTTTGATTGCGGTCATCTCTCCCACGGTTCAGAAACACGTCCGATCCTACACAACTGCTTCAGCCCTGTGGACGGTCCTCGCAACACGCTATGCATCAATTTCTCACTCTCATATTTTTCAATTGCGTGATCGTCTCCACACAATTACCAAAGGCACGAAAACTATGGCGGAGTATTTAGACGAGGTCTCCACCATCATCACAGCCCTCGACACCGTGAACGAAATCATTCCCGAAAAAGATCTCATCATGTGCGTCGTTCGGGGGCTCCCATCAGCTTACTCCTCTATTAAACAGGCGGTTCGCATCAGTCCAACGCCCGTTGACCTGGCTACACTCTCCTCGTGGCTAAAAAGTGAAGAAATCAACGTGGATCTGGAGAGCAAACTTCCTCTCCGAGAAACCGCTGTTATGGAGCCGGCCACCGCCCTCACCGCAAGCCATAACTATCGCGGGGGGCGTGGTGGCGGCCGGCAGGGGAGCCGCGGCGGCTACGGCAGAAACAGCGGAGGCCGCGGGCGCGGCGGTCGGCAGGGCAGTCGTCCGCCGTACGACGGTCAGCAGCACGGCAGCAACAACAGCCTGCACTCCTTCGGCAGAGGCGGATAGTCATCTTCCAGCGGCGGGCAGGGCACTTACGAGCAGGATCGTCCAACTTGTCAAATCTGTCAGAAAACAGGACACACCGTTGTTTGTTGCTGGTTTCGGTATGAGGAGAGCCGAAATAGTGATTACCGTGCCAATTATGCATCTCAAGCCGGCCCTTCCTCTGAATGGCTGTTGGATACTA